GCGGCAAACAAGACTCGACCCGTCATCATCGTATGAATCGAAATCCATTGGGAAATCAACTCCAGATGCACCTGTAGCGGCATATTTAATTGTTCACGACCAGAATCGAAGAAAGTTGCGCAACGCAAGTAGTGGGGAGATGATCAAGTGCAAAAAAAACTAAAACAGGTGGCTGCAAATACATTTCAGAACGCCAACAGATCGACTCCGATCAATTTCAAGAGGAAAAACATCGTAAGGTTTTCAATCGTGAAAGAGTCACTCTCTGTCATAACGAATGCATTCAACTTTACATAAAAGCATATATATTTGGGAACATGGGCCACATTACCTGTATTAGCTTGCCTCTCTTTAAACTTGAGTCAAATTTGGCCTCAAGGAGGTCCTGACCCTGTTGATTTCTTATTGAGGGCAGGAGCATCCCGCGGCAAATCTTGGGACGAGTATTACGATAAGAAAATTAGATAGGTCCGCAATACACATGTTGTCTATTTAGGTGATAGGTAACTGCGGGACAAAAACTCGTTAGTCGACCAGGCGAATTGTCGCCTTGTAAACAAATTGGATATAATATAATGACATATGTAAACTAATATATCATTATTATACATATATAATAATATTATTTATCATTATATGTGACGATAAACTGCGTTCCTGGCCAAAATTCGGCTCGTTTTAAACTGCATGAAATTTACAACGATGTTTGCGTCAAGATTCTGATTTATCAAGTATTTCTTTTAAGGGTGAAATGTCTGCGCAAGAGAAGCAAGTTTTTCTTTTCGTCATTTGAGGATATAATGTTTTTTTTTTTTTAACTGTGCTCTTACTTTCCTCGATTTGGATAAATCTTGTGATTGCGACGTGTATTTCCTGACCGTCATGATTGAACTAGAAGTTATGTGGATGTCCCTCATTTCGACACTCGTTTTCATGAACGATGGATGGTTTATAGAGATGGTTCAGGCTGACGTCACTGTCGATGAAATTTCTTGCCAGCAAAATTTGTTTCCCCGACTTTTTTCGCGTAAGACTTAATTTTCGCCACTGTTATGGCTAACAACAACCCAACATTTGAGTTAGAGTTTCTCGACGACTTAGAAGATTTAGAGAAGGTTGTAGAAACATGGGAAGCGTCTTAAGATCAACAAAGCAAAGTACTACCAGTGAAAATAACGGCTTTGCAAATTTATCCAAGCGGGATTTGGAAAAAATACTTGAAGACAAACAGTCAATCATTTCCAGCCCTACTCAAGGGTCCACGGCATTAATTTCGGTTCAGCAATCAAACCAAGCCGCTGTTGAGTCTGCTTAAGTCGTAGAAAACTAACATTTAAGGCCAATGTCGTGTAGGAGGGGGGAGGGGGGGGGGTTATGGTAGAAGAAATAAAAAAAAGTATACTGTTCTCATAATTTCTGAAACGCTGACAAGGATAATTTGTTTGATTATCAGTCGCTTCTTTAGTTGGTGATCATTTCCTTTATTCTTGTGACATTAATGTGTGATTCAGGGCTGATATTGTAGGGAGAAATTAGATGCTGGTCACATTTAGGGCACAAAGGATCAATGGAGAGGTCAACTATTGCGCGGAATTCCGCTCCTACTCGTTTTTGACTCCTTATGAGCCGTTCCGCACTTCAAACTCCCCCCCCTGAAAAAACCTCTCAATCCATTAGAAGTAGGGGGGAAACCAATACCAGTTATCTTGTTCATAAAATAAACCGAGCATTTGCAGTGCCACCACTCCCGCATCTCCTTCATTTTAACAATGGTGAATTGTCGCGTTTCGCCATTCGAGCGATCTCATTATTATTTGTGTTTCTGCTTAAGAGAGAACTGGAGCCAAAAATTAAGTTAATTTCTTCCAACAGCCAAAGTGACGAAATTCTCGATTTCAGGCCTCTGCGGAGGGGGAGGGAATTAGGGAGCGCTAAGTGAACCTCAGGTGAGGGGATGGCCGTGGCCGCTGAAACAGTGCCCGTGTTTAGGAGGAAATTCTTTCAGTTTGCTATGCCTATAGTATAAGATCCCCATTTCCCTCTCTATAGGACTTTTTAAGCGTGAAGAATGAAATCGTTGTATCATAATATCTTAGAGACGCGCATTTGTCCCAAACATAATGCCTCAGATTGTTGAGATCACAAATAGAAAACGAATGACCTATTATGGTTTTTCTTGCCCTTTTGGAAAAACAATAATGGCAAGGAGCCAAAGATTAATGCCAGAGAGTTGACGAAAGATAAACCGTGAGAAGACCTTTATCGTATGGTTAGCAACTGCGCCGTTGGTTCCTTAGGTTATTTCCCAAGCGGTTCATTTTCGAAAACCTGCATGCATCAGAAACTATAATTACACTATTTTTTATCTTCACATGAAACTTTGTCCATGGACTACTGATGGTGCTTTATTGAATTCTCATCGAAAAATTAACAAGATCAACATAGTCGAGCGCGTCTTGAATTTCCTTAGTTACGGATATTGATCAAATGAACTGTTTTACACAAGCTACATGCAATGACTGCAAAATATATTCCTAAAATACCATATGTTCCCTAACGACTCTTAAATACCTCTAAAGATTGGTCAAAATGAAAATAATTTATAAATACCTTACTGCATAGTGCAGATTTTAAACTGTCAACAACTTTGACAGCTAAATTCTGAAAGTAAAAGTATCTTGTGTTTTGACAACTGATTATGCAATCAAAGCCGATTTCAGGTAATTTCCCCCGTCTAATATTTTTTTTTTTCTTTTAATTTTTTTTTAGTGCATGAATAATTCAAATAAATTGAGTGGTATCGCCGATCAGTAAAATAACTTAACATTAACGATTGTACGACTGCTAGCAATGTTCTAAATCACGGAGAAACATCCGTTGGAGCAGACATTCAACCTTTCTTTCAAGAGACGCCACTTATTTCGGCAGCTTTTCCGAATTTAAAAGTGGGCTTCAGATACTAGTGTGAAACTTAAAATGGTTTAAAACGCCATGTTTTTTACAAACCTAAACGTAATGTACTCGATACACCATTATATGGGAATTATTGTTCAGTCCAGTTCCATCTTTTCAACTTCATCACTCGAATGTCGTTATATAACAAGCTAAAAATATAGTAAAATAAACTCTTTCTATCAAATATTTCTATTTGATCAACCGGAAAGTAATGAACGAAACAAACAAGTAAAAGTTACTTCACCTTCTTTTACTTTAATAAATGCTTACGTGGAAGTTTACTGAACGATCAACCATCCAGACTGCCACAAAATGTAGCGCAAAAACTGTACAGTATTTGCTTGTTTCCTCTGCTGCTAGCGATCAGGTATTTTTCTAAATCCTTCCATTTCCAATTTCTAATTGCAGATTACTATTCTTTTCAAAATTGTCTGTCCCCCTTCTCGATTTTTAGGGGCGCACAGGAGTTAAATCACCATTAAAGTGTTTCTCCATTCTTGACTTAGACGCGGCGTGGATTTCCTTCTTCTGTTTAAGTTACAGTCATCCAGGAACAAACAGTTTCGAGAATCCCTCGTATTTGCACTGAGAGAAAGCTTACGCCGACACTTCTGAAAAATCACTTTAGCAGGGGCGAGCTTGACACTGCCAGCTGAATTAGCAAGCTCAATATCCATGTCTTGCGTGGAAGCTTCCTGATTTCCCATCCACGCTGTCGGATCGACCACCAGCGCGATTGCTTTCGCGTGGAGAATCTGCGAAAGCCATTCGTTTCTTTCGTGCTCTGAGAAGCAACACAGATGAAATGTCCGGGTTGCGATTTTGCCGGCCGAAACTGATCGCTTTACAAGCTTTAAGCAGTACTTTGTCTGCTTTTCAGGCAGCTCGTCTATATAAAGAGACATGTCGTTGAAAAATATCACCTCTTTAGGTACGTCTTCTACCGATTGCTTTTCGGTTTTGTAGTAGCAGAGACATTCTTTACTAAGGACAAAATACCGAAGATTCCATTGCTTTAGAAGGTCGCTTTGCTTCAGCAGGTAACCGTGTTTTAAAATCCTTTCGTTGTTATTTGCATCTAAGCTTTTCATTCTCAGTGGAGCTGTATTATACAAGTGTCAGAATCTTGTCCAATCTGTAAGCGCAACGAGAGCTGAGCCAGTGCAAGACTTGCAATGTTAAGGTCTTAATGGTTCCGTGCAAAATTGTAAGACGAGTTATGAGGAATGTGAACGCAGTGCAAATACCTATCCTGGCGTCACTGCGTGCCTTGCACGGCCTCGATTGGTAAAAGAAGGTCAGGAACAGCCCTCGGCGGGACACAATAATATGAGTCGACTCCCTCACGACACCTCCTTTAGAGCCTTACTGAAGCTCTGGAGCGTCCCGTCTTCCTGAAACGGAGTGAAAGGTCAAAAAAATACGCCGCTGTTATCATTTCAAGGATCGGATGTCCTCTAACAATTGTGAGATTAAGTTTCCCTTCGCTTAATGCCTGGCTGAGTGGTCTCACCTGTAGATAACAATAATGCGCTTTGTTTTGGGAGAAAAGGTTTTGCTATTGAAATAGTAACGCGCTTGGCATGCGCATTGTCAGCACCTTGTTCGTAAACATGTTTTCGTGTGTGTTTAGTTAAGTGGAGATAAACAGCAATTTCTACTTCTTCGTAAAGTGCAATGAACCCCCGCGTTTGACGAGCTTTGCTTTGCTAGTGATTTTACACGAGTGTCAACGCCTTCTGTCTGAAGAACTGATCATTTTGATGGGGAGTTTGCGCTTCATTTGTTTTGTTTGTTTGGTCCCAGTGAGCAAGTATGTGAAGTTGGAGGAAAACAGTGAAAATATCTGTATCGAGCGAACCCCATGTCATATTAACCTAATAAACATAAAACCCTATTTTGTCTTTCTCCCTTTGAATTACCGTCACCGTTTCAGTGCGCAGCCTTATGAGGTGGACGAGGACATTGAAACTGAGCTTTTTTTTTACTCGCGACCTGAGTGAAAGGACACTCTAAGGGATTTTACGACTGAAAACTGCTAAATGAATCCTTCCTGCTGTACAATTCAAATTATTATCCAATTATACACAATGTCATTATACCTTGATGTGCCGAATCGGCAAGTCAAACGACAACCTACACTAAGCAAAACGCGCCAATTATTCTACCAAAAACATTTGCAAAAAGCTTGTCTTTTGATAATTCGCTGGAACAAGTTTTAAACACGAAGAAAGACGCATGAAATTCGATGAATAAAAGTCATCGCAATGATAAGTACAGTTGACCCTGAAACGCTCTCAAAAGGTGCTTATCATTTCGCAGTTTGCGTGAACCTGTAGTGCAATTTCATTCCCCAGATCTGATTATAAATTCTCCCCACTCTCTACCACATATTTTTTACAGTTTTAACCTATAGAATTTGTTGTTAAATCAGGCAATATCTCCAAATTTACATTTCTCTATCTTCACATAACATCTCTGCCGGAATATGTATGGCCAATAGAAGAAGAAAATCTTTGCTGCTCACCCTTGAGAGTGCAATGGTTTTAAAACCCTGCACAAGGTGGACACTACCACGGTTCCCCCGAGTGTTCTCGTTGGACAGGTTTCACAGGACGTGACGTAGGTGGCAAGGGGGACTCTTTTTCCTTCAACCTTTCTCTTTCTGAAGTTAAAGTGCGTTCAAACACACGAAAGAATTGAACAGCTTTTTTTTTTACGTCCAAATGCATGTTGAAGCACGCAGTGAAAATATGTGTGATACATGTAATTAACTTTTGCCTATTTTTTGACCTTAAAAATAATTCCCCATATCACATAGCCCTGCAGGCTTTTGATAATCAGCCAAAAGTCCAAGCACGTACTTCTAAGTTGACAAACAAGTGATAACTATTAAATTCAGATTTACTCTCCTGGTGAAACCTGAATGTCAAAGATCTAGCCGTCGTTTCGCTCACACCCCGCTCACGAAAGAGAAAACGTTTTGGACTTCGACCGAGTTCAAGCCGGAGATTACATGTTCTCCAGAAGGGGAATTCCCCCTGAAAACCCCGACCAGAAAGGTAGATGCTGTCAGAACGAGGGTTTTACTCCTCAAGTACCCTTTGTGCTAATCAAATTTACCATATCGAGTAAGCTCTTTATCGCGTCTGATCAGGAAAAATTGTTTCCGCTTTACGCTGACGTTGAGATTATAGAAAGTGTAGCATTTCTGTCGAAGAAGTAGATCTTATGCGAAACTGACCGTCTTTAGACTGTTTTTTTTTTTCGGAAAATATCGTTTCCGAACTGAACAAAAAACTTAGCGAAGCGACTCAGACTTAATCATCTCATAGGTAAAGCCTTTTAAAATTCAATTATCCCTTTAAATCCCATAAGTGACCAAGACATAATTTTTTCTTTACTAAATCAATACAATATCAATCAGACAAGTGATGAGAATAAAGAAAAATGTCGGTTAGGGGATTGTTAGTTGATTCAATACCAAATTCTTAGAACTAACATTATGAGAATCGTATGGCAGACAGTAAGGAGAATTAACAATGAGATCTTGGAAGTGAAAAGGTTAGCGTCCTTATTAGCTCCAAAGAAACGCTCTGAATAGCAATTTGATTAGAGGAAACAAAAATAATAAAACGGAAAAGCATTAAGGATTGGTTATTTACACGAGGTCTAACCGAAACCATGGTTTTTGCGCAATCAATGGGCCTTTGGTTCTCCTACAAGTGGATCGATTAGATTCCAAAAAATACTTTTCCCACTGTCAGCTTTTGGCCATCTTGACACTGTTCACAAAAATAAATATTCAGTTACAAGGGTTCGGCAAAATTGAAGGTAGTTTAGAACGCAGTTTTATGAACAAGGAATTAGCTTTGTTTAAATAAACAGACCTAAGAGTTGTGAACAAAGTTTTAAAAGTCTGTTTCTACACTACGCAACTTCTGGGAAAAGTGGATTCATGACGTCACCATCTAAACTTGGATCCAGGTTTGACCGAGCTAAGGTCCGCATGATGCCTGTGCAAGTACAAATGATTGAGTCACTTGCACGTAAACCAGCCGTCACAATGAGATTTTCTCAGAACTCACAATTTTTGTTTGCTGAAAACAGGAAAAAAAAAAGACTGATTACATCTGCCTGACCGCAAAATGTGATGGAATCTGGAGTCGTCATTTCCGTTTTGCGACATAGCGGCTGCGTCAGTGGTCAGTATTTCATTCCAAGGTTACTCATTCAGTGCGCTGAAATTTTTTGTGATCCTGAAGCAAAAAAAAAGATTAGAGGGTTAAAATTAAATTTAAAGATGTGGCTGTTGGAAAATTCTGTAGCAAGCAGCACCGTAGAGCGTCAATGACTCAATATGTCTTCAGATGTTACAGAACTTTTTGAATCCAGAGCCTGTATCTTGCCTGGGGGCCTTATGGTAACCGGAATTATCATTCTACTAATACGCAATTTTACCTTATTTAGGCAACAGAACGTGTAAAATATGCCACGGTATTACGCTGTAGAACAAGGAAACTATACAGACGGAAAACGGAGCCACAAATTGGCCTTACTGAATGATCCAAACTTAAGTTCGTCTCTTAGGCTTGACTTTAACAGATTAGTCTTTTAAAAGCATCAGGGGTTTTTTGTTGGTCAGAGGAATATACTAACACTTTCGTTGTGGTTGTTTTCGTCTTTCGCGAACGCCAAAGTTCAGATCGGTACGAAGCTCGGATAGACAATAGGAATTCTTTCGAAATTTGATGTTAAAACGCTCGAGAATGAAACAATAGAGGAATAATAAATCCCTTTATTAAATGCTTAGCCGAGGCTGTCTTAACTGCTGACTATGAGCAACTTAAAGAATTAAGCCTAAAAGTTTTCAAACTCCTTATTACATTTGTAACCTTACCTTACACCTCCAGGTTCGATTTTGCTCTATGCGCACTGATGGGGTGACTTAAACTTTTCACCCCAGCAACAGTCATTATGATAAATTTTAATACAATTATCTACTTATGATTCAACGGATCATGACGCAACACCGTTCGTCTTTCTTAAGAATCACCGTTAGAATATTGCCAATCATACATATCTCTCGGTATTAACAATTAGTTCAGACTGATCCGATTCTTTGTCTACCTCCTTCCTATGTAATTCAATGCTTAAAAAAAATCGCAAATCCTTTGAACTTACAACTGATTGCAAAACATTTTGACATCCTAACGGATGGCAAATATAAATAATTACATGCAACAGCGCTGGCTGTCCCAAACATATTGCTGTTTTCAGCTGGAGGACTGAGTCCAGCTGAAACAAGTTTCGTAAATTTTATGCAAGAAATTGTTATCATGTATATATATTTAAAATATAAATAAATGAGTAGAGAGAAAAGATCTGTTTCATTCCATCGTTGGAATGATACTGAACAAGCCTTCTATTCAGAAATATTCAAAAAGATTCCGCGAAGCAAGAGATCTAAAAATTTTTCATTGGCTGATAGGATCAAATCGGAAATGAAAACACTTCTGAGAAATGGTGGCTAACAAATTCAAACAACAAGGGACAATTCTGTTCAAGAAATCTTGAGCAGCCACAACGTATGCATCCTGTTTTGTGAAATCTTCCAAAATGTCCTTTACTCAGGTGGTTTTCAGCGAAGAAAATGAAAATTTAAATTCGAAAACATATCAGACAATTGTATCAGTTCGATGGTATACCATGCACGTGCGTCAAATCACGGCCGATTTCGGACCTTTGTTTCTCCCCTTGCTAAATCAAATTTTCCTCTTGCGAATTTCCAGATTAACTTCCAAGTCTCAGTCTACATTTTACTGAGGGCCTCCTAAATAAACATCCCAGCTATGTTGGCAGAACACGAATAAACCGCGTTTTCACATATTTGGACATTTGTCAACACGGGGTCAGTTTTGATATACTAAAGCAGATTTTTAGACTTTCTTTAGAATCATTGTCTGTCAGATCGGGAAATAACCGAAATCGAATACTTTCGAAATAAAAATATTTGTTTTAGGGAGCCAATTTAAAAAGGGGAAAATTGTCGATTGCAAGACACCCAGGAGACCTTAGAAAACTACGGCTGCATAGGCAGGGGAAAAGAATTGTTCCCAGGATTAGAAAAATAGCCCCTCCTGTGTTTTATCTCTGAATTTTATTAGATTTCCGCAGAACTACGTCATACTATCACAAAGTTTTCTGTCTAATAATTTTCATTGAAGAACGGTTATTAATGACATGACCCTTATTTGAATACAGCAATTTGGACCCAACCTGTTATTACACATTAAGTCAAAAATGGTTCTGAAACTGAAAGAAACTTAGCACTATCCAAATTGTTGCGAGATTCTGAAGACTGAAACTGAAATTTATGGCTCAACGCGCTTCGCCGTTTTCGTTGCGACATAGTGTAAGGATCGCGTGTTGTTTTCATCTCGTGTTTGCGTGATCTCCGAAATTGTAGTCTGAGGTTTTTGCTGACCAAAGACAAGGGTAAATTTAGGAAAGTACTTCGATCCAAACCTAATGAAATTTTTCCATCAGTATCGAAATAAAAAGGAAAAGCTACTTACATAAGCAATACCGGTTCTTCTTAGAAAGCATATTCTATTTTTGTCCGTATTGCCTCATATCATATCAATTTCCATGGGTCGCATGATATGCTTCTGTGCACACAGATAACATCTATAAACTATTGACGATAGGGGGGAAAGATTGCGTTGCTATTTTTAAAAAGTAGTTATTTTTTTCAATCAAAGCACTCTTATTTCGGACAGTTGATATCCTATCGAACAGCCAGTCATCTCTCGGTAGGCAAAGAGCACACGCTCATCACATGGTGTCACATGACCGGTTTTCCGTTGTTGACCTTGCCTGACGTCTATATAAATTCTTGGAGACGGTATTCTCGCATTTGAGGTTCGAGGAATTATGAAGTTCCCGTCTGATTCCTGAAAGATTGCCGCTTCTGAAGTTTGTGTAAAGTACAGAAACAGAGTTTATGTTTGAAAAACAGACCTGTACACATAGCGACGGAAATTGATTGCCTGGAAACCCGGGAGAGCTTCGAAAGAAATGAAAGGCGCATACACACAGCCGTTAAAACAAGGTTACCTTCTAAAGCAAAGCGAAATTCTGAAACAATGGCATCTCCGTTATTTCGTCCTGAGCAAAGAGTGCCTATGTTACTATAGAACTGAAGCGGAATCATTGCAAGAGGCACCCAAGGAGGTCATATTCTTCAATGACATGTCTCTGTATATAGAAGAACAGGCAGATAAACATACAAAGTACTGCTTACGGCTTGTAAAGCGATCTGTATCTGCCGGCAAGATTGCGAATCGGACATTTTTTCTGTCTTGTTTCTGGCGAGATGAAAGGAACGAGTGGTTGTCTCAAATTCTTTTAGCGAAAGCAATGGCGTTAGTCGCTGATCCAACCGCGCTGATAGGAAAACGTGAAACCTCAACAGAGCATATGGACTTTGAGCTCACTACTTCCGGAAAATATGTCCGGCTTCCCGCCGCAAAGGAACTGTTACTGAAATGTCGACAGAAACTTATGCTCGTAAGCGGTTCAAGGAATTCCTTGGGTCGTATATTCCCTGAAAACTTAGACAATTCAGAACTAAAGTCTTTTACTTTGAACCTTCAACACTGGAGGACCTCATTAATGATGATACGATCGTAGCTTATTGCTCACGCTTGAAAATTGTAAGCGCAGTGCACATCTTTTTGACTGTAAATCTGTGCATGAAAAAACCGCAAGGAAAGCACTGAAATGCGAAAACTTTTCTTGTGGTTAAAAAACCATGTTTTATTTATAACTCCTGATAAAGTAAAAGCCTAGTTTAAGCATTTATTGAACAGTTTTGTGCAGTTTATTCAAGCTAGAGTGAAGCGAGAAGTTTGTTTTCTTTATGTATTTTATTTATTTAAGACTTAAGTGTGGATCAGTATAGACGCTTAATCTATACATCGCTATATCTACTTTAAGGCTATATAAATGGCTATTAAAGCTACTAGTGGTGCTAACAATTAAAGAAAGAATATGAAAAACCTTTACCATTTTTTATTGGGGAATTTATCAATAATACTTCAGCGAAGAACGCTGTAAAAAGGGATTTCACCACAATTTCAGCTGACTACAACACTAGAAAAACTATTTAATCTCGTAAAAATTCAAACCACTTTAACTCCTTTTCTTCATGAGGCTTAGCTACGGAGGGAACACATTTATCTAGCGCTTGGGTTGATGATTTAGCAACAGCTGATTCTTGAAATTCCCCACAGACTAGAGCTGCAATTAAGCTTTCACTTCTAGGATCAAGGAGCTTATTCCTTGTAATCACGACCGCAAATTTCTAATGCTCTTATTTGCATGAGTTTCGCAATGAAATGGCAGGGAAAATTTATCAAATGATGTCTCCTTTGGAGAAATGTGGAAACGGAGTTACGTCAGCATATATCGAGTCAATGTGTGATGTAATGATTCAATAGTCGAACAAAAACTTGACCAGTATTTCCCTTTACATTTCTTGCATTCAGGGAGATTCGAGGAAAATAAAATGAAAACAATCCAATTAAGATAAAAGAAAGGTAGAGAAGAACTTTATTCTACAACTCCCAAGATCTGATTGTAAATTCTCCCCACTTACCGTTACAAATTTCCTTTAAATCAATGACGAGAATTTGGTGTTAGATCAAGATAATAACTTCTACATGATCATTTTGATTATTCTCATTGGCTGTTTGCTAAATAATTTATGGATATTATGGGGAGAGGTTACACGTCAATCACTTCTGGGAGCTGAAGGGTGAAGCGTTAAGCTATTAACTAAGGTGACGAGAATTCTTTATGACGGTGAAGAATTAGCGCGGGTCATATTATCGATCTTAAAACCTCTTTTTCCAGATTATCATGATCCAAAAATAGCGATTCAGCTTCTGTCCAAGATATGAAGTTTATAAGGTCATTGATGCTATCAGTTCACTAAGTTGACACTGACTCGCCCCAAGTCGCACCCTTTTTGACCGCGGAAAGTGCGTGGGAGATAGGGACGAGTCAAAGAAGCACCAACGATGAGAAGGCCAGTCTGCAGGCAGGGCTTGATGATTAGTACTGGGACAGGAGTAACAAGGCCCACGAGTTTCTCCCCTCGAGCGAAAAGGGCGTGCAAGGTGTGTGTGAGGGATCTTGCACGAACAATGAGAGCCTGAACCCTTGCTTATCTCTTCTTGCAGACCTCTCGAAGACTCGAAACCCGCAGGCTTCGTCGCTCTTGTGGTAGCACTAGTGAGACCCTACTCATTCAGTTGTGGGAAGGTAGAGCTATTTTCTTCCAAACCGTCTGAAGCCGAATGTAAAGAACGTTTTTCCTCCTACCTTTTCCTTCTTTCCCTTCTCCTTGGAGAGTTGAAATGTTTACAAATCTCTACGTTGTAGAGGTTTGAACAGTGTTTGTTTCTGTAGTTTTGTAATGAACACCAACTTTGTTGCGACGGCATCTTTTCAACAGCGCTGCTATATGGCGGCGGAATCGATGGCTCTGCAAGCTGTAAATCACAGGGTTGACAGCGGAGTTGAAAGAAACCATCAGCACCGATGCAGTGTGTACCTCCCCGAACAACTGCTTAGCCGAGAAGGCCACGTAGATGTAAGCAAAACAGTTTGGAAACCAACAGATACAATAGATCAAACTCACTGTGATCACCATCTTGGTGGAGTGACGTCTATTTTTGAGCACTGCTTGTTGAGACACAGACGTGGTTGCAGCTGTGTTTCTGAACCAGAGTTGATAAATTAGAAGAGCGTAGAGCACCCCCATAATCAGTGCAGGGAAGACAAAGAATATCAGGCCGTTAATGACGCTGTGGTATTTCATAAAGTTTGGTGTTGGCCAGAAAGGGACACAGCTTCCAGAGTTCTCGTCGTACTTGAGGTACATAAACGGCGGTAGGTTGACTCCGATAGCAAAGATCCAGCAAAGTGGAATGACGAATCTAAGCTTTTTAGTTGTCAGCCTCTTTGTCTCACTATAGGGGAAGTTGATGGCGAGATATCGCTCAACTGCGATGCAGACGAGAGTGAAGTCTGAAGCCAGTGCACCTGTCCAGGTGAAAGAATCTCCGGTAAGGATCTTACACAGGTAATCCCCGAGAGTCCCCCTAGGATGGTTCATCGTCCGGCTGAAGACGAACCTTGGAGACATAAAGACTGCAACCATCATATCACTGACGGCAAGATTTACCAGAAGATAATTCATTGGAATGCGCATGTCTCGAAATGCCAGAACCGCCACGCAGACGAGAATGTTGCCGAATAGGTTAATGAGCATTGAAAACGTGAAAGCAATGATGAAACCGTCCTTTGAAAAGCTATCCTGGGCCATTTTCTAAACAAAGAAGGGAAAAAAGTTCATAAAGGTCATCGTCAAACTGAAAATACATATTACTGTTATAAGTTTTGATTTGAATCTTAGGCATCATGCGAGTAGATGGTAAACGATTGGCCATCCTGACTTGAGAAATAGTTCGCTGATCATGATCATGACAAGTCTAACTGGCCACAAAAAAATGTGCTGAGCTCACATCCAGTCACTTAAGAACGTCATGCGTGGGTGTTTATTTTCAGAGGTTCTTTTCCGATTTGATTGGGCCTTTTGCGAACCATATGGAACTACGAAAACAAATTTCTGTTATTTTGCAGAGTACGACCCATAAAACGTAAAATGTTTCGTAGAGCACTGATAATGTTCTTTCTAGTAGCTATTGTCAGATATATAGTCGTGGCTTGTCCAGGAACTGAGAAACAGTTAAAAAAAACTGAAGAGATTAAGTGTGTGTTATTTTTCATAATGACGACCGAAAAATGTAAAATGTTTCCCAGAACTCTCATAACGCTCTTTCTAGTTGCCATTGTCAGATACACAGCTTCAATTTGCTTAAGAACCCAGAAACAAAAACAAATAAAAAAAAATTGAAGAGATTAAGGGAAAGTGGACGACCACACCTTACGAAAAAAATTATTTCAGAAGAAATGCCTCGCAAGTAGTTGCATTGAGTGTTTTCCAATCACAGAATTACTTTCAGATAAAATCAGCTCTGGATGAGACTTTGCTTAATCAAGCAGGAAAAGAAAATGCGACTCTATCCTATCGCAAGCCGTTCCCTTCTGTCTGGGCGCCGTCGGACATTTTTTGGTCATTTCATATGTTGTAATGCGTTTTCACGGTTACGGGTGGCGAGTAAAATTTACAAAATGGATAACTTTTGAATAGCCAACCATTTGAAACGATACAAGCTAATTTCATTAATTGGCTTTTTTCTTAGGATGTTCAGAGTGACATCAAATAGTATTTCATTTGGGTAAACGAAAATGTTGAATAAAATCTTTTATCTTACCGGCTAAAGATTCGCTACACGTTTCAACTAGCTTTTTGTGTTTTTTTCAGAGAACTTCCACGGATGCGGGGCTTAAACTTCTTAATGTCTTGAACCGTTGGGTGAAGTGAGATACTCATTTGCGATTTCAAGCAGATATATGTATTACTGGTGCTCTGTGTACAGTATAAGTGCAAATATGCGTCATAAGTATTTAATCAAGTTCTCGATAATCAAGAAAAAACTGTACGCAAGAAATTGTGTTTTTTTTACTAAGTATAATATTGACCTAGTTTTTTGACAAGTAAATTGAACCACCCGCACAAGCTTATTTGAGCACGAACACGCTGGAGGAAAAAAGCTGAGATTTTGAAGAACGCCCTAAAAATCGGCGCTAAAAATTCTTTTCATTGAGGCTTTTTCTTTGAATATCTTGTGATACAGATTGTAATTTATCCCGTAATAACGAACTGTAATTCAAATTTAAAAAACAACAAACAAACGTAATTCTTTCTCCAAATATTGTTGTGACATGTATCTGATGTTATCCTTTTCCTTATTTTTTTTTTTGGTTGTATAAATATATCCTGACCGTATATATCAGCTGATTAAACAAAATGATTCCTTTCCTTTATGAGGAGTAAGTTAATCTATTTGCTCACAAACGGGCTGAAACAAAAAGGTTGAAACCTTGAAGAAACCTTGAAGTTTTCCTTTCAGCATCTTTGCATGCAGATTAAAAATTTATCAGGTCACAGAGACTAAATTAAAAAAAATGTCACTCTTTTTTTTCACTTTTTAGTGTATATAACGTAATTCAATTTCTTATTTCTTTCCTTGTAGTAGTAATAACACGAAAACTAAACTTAAAGGTAAAATTTCTTTTCTGGCAGTATAAACTGAATGTAGAGCAAAGTGGCTTCGCGGCTCTTAAGTTTCTCAAAACTTCAAGTATAATGAGACGAAATATAACTTTTTTTTTTTTTCCTGAAGGGTACTTTGTCAATATCTTGTTTACAGGAAAATCTGGCGATTACTTTGCTCTTGAAAGCGTCATGTTAGGAAGATATGACACAAAATTGCAAAATCTTAATTAACTAAGCCTACGTTAAAGTTACCTGGTCAATGATATATGAAGTTAAAAAAGAAACGTGGAAAAGAAAGTTTTCTAGTGCAATTATAGAGGTCTTGTATTTACATACTAAGAGTAAATGAGGGCGTTTTCAGAGCTTGTCCCACAACTATCTCAAGTGGTTATGAAGGAAAATGGGAGGATGGGACAGCAAGGTGAACTTCGCCTTTCATTGTGGTATTTATAGTAACGTTTAAGTCTGATGATTTACGCAACCCCGTGTTGGAAAATGTGCAAATAAATGGTTGAGTCCTAAAAAACAGTCCTTGTTTTTGAGGATGAAGCGCTTTACATGACAGCTTATCTCGCCTTAGCAGTGATTGTTCCAGCAGTTCTGCATCTGTTTAAGTTTAATGTATTTGCTGCTGATCCTGTTTAGTCACAATTGTCTTTATCGTTCCGTTTCTCTTCAATTTGCTTTGGTTCGTTTGCTACCACCTCGTTATACCTTGAATGGTTTAAAATAAAATAATCAGAAAGGACTAGTACAAAAGAGACGTACTACAGTACACATTTCCGCGCGCGCCAAGATGATTGACTGATTGACTACATTCTACTCTACGATGTAAAATTGTCACTCTTGAGAAATACTGTTGTTCTTAAAATACACGACTGTAAAGAGCCATTTTAACATGTTAGAGGGTTCGCTCGCCAATGAAATGTGTCAGTGGTTATAGAGTGTTCTTAGAGCACACGAAAGAAAAGTGATACGGCCTAAAAAGCGCATATGTAAAGGTTCTCAGTCTGGCAGGTTAGAATATTCAATGTGGTAACTTTATAATTTGGTATTATCAACTGAGCTGATAACGTAAATTGGCTTCCGTAAAGAGTTTCGAAGCTGACATTTCGAGCGAAACACCATTCCATACTACCATTCTCTGTGACGAAGGGCTAACACTCGAAGTGTCAGCTTTGAAACTCTTTACGGTGGCCAATTTTTCGGCGTCTCTTGTTGTGCGAGACAAAACACCAAGGTAGCAAAGAAGTGTTAACAAAAAAAAAACAAACAAACAGACATAGAACAGAAATTTTGATTCATCTGCGGGCTTCGATTGCTTTTAGAAGCAAAAGCTTTTATTTTTTCAATATATTCAGTCGCAATCAGGATCATCAGTCCAAGAGTGCTAAAATGGAAAAATGTTGTCGTAGAAAAACTCATTCAATTAACCCTTTAACTCCCAAGATCTCATTGGTAATTCTTCTTACTGTCTTCCATACCCTTATTGTGAGGTTAGTTTGGAGAATTTAGTATTGGATCAACTTATACTTCCCTAATTGATATTGTTCTTTATTCTCATCATTCGTCTACTTGATATTGTATTTATATTGTATGGAGAAATTCTGTCTTGATCACTTATGGAAGTTAAAGGGTTAAAGCGGAGCCGAATTCAATGTTCTGAAGTGTTGCGATCGGACATAGTTGATCCATCACCTGTTAGGCTGACATTTATGGGAAAAGAAAAAGCGCCAAAACGAGTCAGAACTGGCCGGATTTTTAAATTTTTATGTTTGTTGTACTCGTTAGGCGCTATGAACGAGTAAATAAATAAAACCTTTTAGAACATTTGAGTTGTATCTCATTGAAAAACTCAACCTAAGTATTCTTGCGGCCTGACCCGTTTCCCGATGCCCCGACGAACTTCACCTCAATATCTTTCGAATACAACTGAAGTGCCTTCCGCATGATTATCTTTTGACAACGCTGTCATTTGATGATCCTCACACCCATTTTTCTGCCAGGCCAAAAAATCGTTGTGGCAATAGAACAATGTATCGCGATGACGCGTACCTCTCTCTCTCTCTAAGATAAAAGAGACTGAAAGAAGTAGAGATGAACTTAGTTATGTCACAGGTTAGCAATCAGTAGCAGTCTTTTCTCTTGAATAATGTGATATCTTGTTACAAGTGTTAGTTGCGCGAAGAATAGTGAGAACGACTACTATCTTCAGCTTTAACTAAATGCGACAGAACATTGCTAATTTAAAAGATCAAGAAGAGAAAAACTCAGCGGTAGACCTCATGTTCTTCTTTTTCGACGCCTTATTTACGATTTCTTGTTAGTTCAGGTTGTCAGCGTTTTACAGGCAAGTATATCAACTAAGCCTTTATTTTTTCTTAATCAGAAAATGTGAAACGGCAGGGACAAAATACATTTATGTATAATTCTTAAGATACGATTCTTCTAATTTTGAGTTGGGAAAATGATAATTTTTCATTATTCAACCTCTCACCTAAGCTTTCGATATACTTCCTAAATATAATTGCTTCCTGGCTTACGTATACGCTACTGATGATCTTCACGCAACACTTCTTATCATATAGCTTTGGTTAAATTACCCGTCGAAACTACTATTGAGAACCGTTTGTATTGATATTGGTACCGTTTCTGTTTGATCAAGATTCTAATTCGCCTGTTTAGGGAGATATAAAGCTTGAACATTGTATGGAGGTACATCATTAGAGAAAATATACCTTATTCGCTCTTAGTTGCTGGATTAATTTTACAATAAAGGATGAGGCACAAGCATGGAAAAAATTGATCAGAATTGGATTTTGACATGCTCATCACAGTAGCTGAGCACTCTTTCACAAGCACGATCCATTCAAGGGTCCTACGCAGGGCAGCACTTCAAACTACGCAATTTTTTTTCCGGTCTAAAGCCACCTTAAATGATCAAATAAAATTAAGGAGGCTCTGAGCTTAAATCGGGGTCGTCAATCTTCTTATGGAAATACAGGAATATAAAACAGAAGATAAGAATGTTTTTATGAGGCTCTATTGTTGCGATGGTATCCTTGATATCAGAACGATCATGGTTGGGAAAGTATTAGTTATCCTATTCATGCCAATTTGAAGGGAATAGACGAAAAGCATTGGCGCTAGCTAACCGATTAAAAAAAAAGAGGAAAAACGAATAGAAACCGCTTACATTCAGTTTAAGAGCAGTTATCACTGCTTCTCTCTTTTTTTTAAATCACGAATCTATTTCGGAACATATTAGTAAACAGTGATAGTCAAACATGTTACAGAAGAGATACTGAACTTACAGATTTTCTATTGTTTTGAATTTTTGGAAGCTCAATAAACCAACGCTTCTTGTATCGGTGCCAACCATAAAATCCAGATAAATGTTCCAACTTGGTCGTGAAAAGAATAAATTATAGTTTAAAACGTTCCAACCACAAAGTTTGAAAACAGACTTCGTCCAAGATGAAAAATCTTTCCTTGAAATATACTTATTTCCAACATTATACATATTTGCTTTATTACAATAAATCCTAAAAGAAATAAAAAAAATTCCTCACATTAAGCTCATTTTTTCGAGCAAATGTCTTTTTCAAATGGAAAATTTTTGGCAAAAATACTCGGCCAGTTTTGAGATTAATTTTAAAAAATTGAAAGGAATAGTGTGTTAGGTCTGACGGTTGCTACAGAGCGTACTGCTCAGCGGAAGGCGCTCAGGACGTAAATTGATTGATCAGTCTTTTTTATTCTTTGTTCTTAGCTGTGATCCTGATTCACAGTCGATTTATTACCTCTACCTCTCTTCTCTTTAACCTCTCAAAGGCGAACTGGAGGAGATAATGAGACTGCGCACTAGGGGAAATTTTCGAGGTGCAAAATCAAATGGTACAATGAAGGCGAGAAAAGCATAAAATATTTTCTTAATCTTGCAAAATGCACTTCATACTGAGTACAATGAGTCATTTAAATTTGTCACATCTGATAACGAAATTCTCGCTGAGTGCGAAGCCTTCTACACAGAGCTCCATGAAAATGTGATATACCGCCTGAAAGTGAATTTTTTCAGCCGGAAAACGACATCATCCTGAACCATAATGACGCAGAGAGTTGTGAAGGACCTTTAACAGAAAAAGAGTGCCTAGAAGCTTTGAAAAATATGGATTATGAAAAAACTCCTGGGTCTGATAGACTGCCTGCCGATTTCACCAAATTTTCCGGAAGGACTTGTCTTCAGTGCTAATAAATATGCTTAACTTCGCATATGATCGAAGCTGGAAATCTCTCGATCACTCAGAGACGCGGAATTATCAAACACATACTGAAAAAGACGCAGAACTGCATGCACGCTTCATTAAAATTGGCGCCCAGTAACCATCCTAAACTATGACTACAAAATAGGAGTGAAAACCATTGCTAATCGAATAAAATCTGCCATCTCAGATCTTCTCGATCATGACCAGGCTGGCATCATAAATGGAAGATTCATTGGAGAGAATATAAGATTGATAGATAATATCATAAGCTATGCCTGAAAAAATAAATAAATAAAAAAAACAATATCCCAGGTCTTCTGCTTTTATTAATTTGGAAATAGCTTGAATGGTCCTTCATTGAGCGAACGCTTCTATGCTTTGGCTTTGGCCGCTCGTTGAGGAAGTGGATTCAAACATTTCCCAAAAATACCGGTTTTAAGTTATGTTCTTAACAACGGCTGGGCGAGAAACCTCTTTGAATTTTTCAGTATGAGAGGCTTTGCGAGCAGGCCATTTCCGAATTACCTTCAGCCTCGTTTTCAAAACGAGGCCTGGTGCTCAACCACTCGTATGAAAATGAGATTAATTTGCATGTGAATGAAAACTTATAATTATATGAAAGGATGAGCACCAGAACTCGCTTTGAAAACGAGGCCAAAGGTAATACGGAAATGGCCTATTGGATGAACCTATTCAGATAAACTCTTAACGATCAAACACAACACAACTTCTTCAAGAAAAGACATTCAAGTAAATAAAATCCGCCGTGGGACCGCTGGACAAGAAAGTCGAAAGCAAGAAACTTGTCGTGATAGCTTAACCCCAAATAACTTCGGAAATCAAATTCAGATCTTAACTGAACGCTTAAAATATTTAAAACAAATCCCTAAACGTTAACTAACTAAATACTTCTCAACACCACTTGCACTGTATACTAAATTAAATCTGATTAGGAGCGAGAAAGTGATCAAAATTCATTTCTCTAAAACACAAATGATTGATGAGATGCATCGATACATACTGCTTGATTTGTCAAAAAAAAAAAAAGAGAGCTTTCATCTGTCTGAGATGGAAATATACTTTTAACGTGAAGGGTGATTGGTGATTTTTTCCTCGTAAATCGTGATTTGATTTTTTGTGAATCCGTGAATCGTGATCAATGGTGATAAGATCTTATGATATCTACGTGGGCGAATTTTTTTATTTGAACGCGCATGAGCTATGAGTTGAGAGCTGAATTAAACGTGATTCGTGAACCATTTTGTTTTGCGTGATGCATTTCCGGTTATTTTATCGTTTTGGAAATGTTCGTATTTTTCTCGAACGGTTGTGGTTAGGTTTTGACAAGGGTTTTGACAAGAGATGGAAATCTTATGGATCGATAATAATCACAAGACAGATTTCTAATGGTTCTTGAACAAATGAGATAGGACATTGCAGCATCGTTTGTCAAGTTAGACTGGTTAAGACTAAAGAAAGTATTATATCAATTCTACGTGATTTTTTTAAATTTCGGGTGAACTTGAAAGCGTTTTGGATATTATTCGTGATCCGTAAAAAGGCCAAATATTTTTACGTGACCGAGTTTAACAAGCGGGTATAGATGAAATGGTGCGCGTCAAGCGCTTCTTTCTGCATGACATTTTCATAATCTCTTTGACATGTTACGGCAATGCAAAAAAATTTCATCGCAAACCTTGGAAAAGACATATGTTTTAGGAATCACCTTACTTCTGTCCCATCTGTTCAATCGAAGGCTGAAGTTATGTCACCTAAGACGTTTGAACAGCGTTTGATTCTCCACCATTGTCAAGAATATAAACTTTGTTGCAATGGCATCTTTTCCACAACGCTGCCATGTGGCGACGGAATCGATGACTCTGCAAGCTGTAAATCACCGGATTGACGGCGGAGTTTAGAGAAACCATCAGAACCGATGCTGTGTGAATCGCACCGAACAACTGCTTGGTTGAGTAAGCCACGTAGATGTAAACAAAACAGTTTGGAAACCAGCAAATGCAGTAGATCAAACTTACTGTACTCACCATCTTGGTGGAGTGACGTCGGTACTTGAGTACTGCTCGTTGAGCCACAGACGAGGTCGAAGTTTTCTTTTTAAACCAGAGTTGATAAATGAGAAGGGTGTAGAGCACCCCCATTATCAGTACAGGAAAAACAAAGAATATGTGGGTGTTAATGACACTGTGGTATTTTATGAAGTTTGGCGTCGGCCAAAATGGCACACAGCTTCCAGAGTTCTTGTCGTATTTGAGATAGAAAAAAGGTGGTAGGTTGACCCCAAGGGCAAAGGTCCAGCAAAGTGGTATGACGTATCTAAGCTTCTTAGTCGTCAGCCTCTTCTTATTGCTATGAGGAAAGCGGATTGAGAGATATCGCTCAACTGCAATATAGACCAGAGTGACATCTGAAGCCAACGCTCCTGTCCAGGTGAAGGAATCCCCAGTTAAGATTTTGCAAAAGTAGTCGCCAAGAGTTCCCCCGGGGTGATTCAACATCCGGCCGAAGATGAACCTCGGGGACATAAAGAAACCAACCATCATATCACTGATTGCAAGATTTACAAGAAGGTAATTCATTGGAATGCGCATGTCTCGAAACTTCAGCACCACAAAGCAGACGAGTATGTTGCCGAATAAATTAATGAGCATCGAGATGGTGAAGGCGATAATAAAACAATTATTTAACAAGCTGTCTTCGGCCATTCCCTAGAAAAAAAGGCACGGAGGCATTCTTTAAAATAAAAACTGTCCACTGGTAAGTTAGTAAAATATTTCAAATTTGTAGAAGTGGAAAATGGGAGACTGCCGCTAACTCATGAGTAAAAGGAATTTAGCCATTTTCTTTCGTCACGTTTTACTTCAGCACGTGATCGATACCTAAATAAGTTCTCTCACCTATCTCTCAGGAACATGAAGGTCTACATGATTCTTTGTTTCATACCCTACTTATTGAATAACATCTTGCTTTTCACCCCAAAGTGCATCACATTAAGTGGTATTTGCATGGGTGATAACATGATTTTGAGTGCAATTTGGCGTTAAAAAGACAATTTGTATTTTTTGAAAAATTTACAAGTGCTGCGCATTGTGTGCTACCTTTTTGTTGTTACCGGCGTACGGCATTTTGACGTAATCTGTGATGTATTACTGAAAAGACGCGTGTGTGTAAAAATGAGTTCATCGTCAGAAAAACGATAGTGCTTCGTTTTTATTGCATTCTCCACCATAAATTACCACATCTTATTTTACGATGAAAAATTCCCAGTCTGTTAAAGCACCTGTGTTCTTTAACTATACCACTAAGATGTGAAGGTTCTCAGTAATATAGTGCTATAGGGGTCTTTGAAACATGCTATTGTAAACTGAATGTCTTTATATTACGCAATTTCCGCTGAAAAGCTATTCGCTGTAGTTCCCATTCGTCATAGAAAAGGTGCATCTTAAAAGCTTTCACACATAGGTAACAAAGGGTAAGTTAGTATTATCAAATGAGTTGATGACGTAAATTAGCCACCGTAAAGAACTTAAAAGCTGACGTTTCGAGCATTAGCCCTTCGTGAGAGAGATTGGAAGAATTGTGGGTCATATGTGTGTTTTTATGCAGGAAATGGAGCTACGCTATTGGTGGAAATACAGTGACGAGAAAACAAGAATAAGTTAGTTGAATTAAAACCGCTCGTTGATACCGTGGAGAGTAAGACTGCCGATTTGAAGTGCAATTTTTTTTCTAGAGTTTTGCGGCTTTCCGAATTGCCTTGAGATAGGGATAGGCCCTAAACAGCCATATGGTGCTTAGAATGGTGAGGAAGATTCAAGTGTCCAGCGACTGGTTTGGATGCGTCCTTTTCATTTCTTTCTATGTCAGCGCAAAGGTGTCCTCGGAATCGGTCACCTAGTCGTCTTGCAAAAAGATAGTGCTAGTCTCTGAATCGTTCTTAAATAACTTAAAGTTTTTAAGAATGATCGGTTTAACTGCATGGTTGTGAGGGTAAAATGTGAGAGCATCATTCAGTCTCGCAACCATGCTATTAAATCTCCCTCAAAACCACGTAACAAAGGCACAGACATGATTGGAGGACTTTTTATACCTTGTGATAGAAAATATGCGTCATAGTCCTTAATTCAAAGGGTTGATCAACTCAAAGGAAAAGAAATAAGCTTTTATCCTAACTGAGAGTCAAATGGCCTTGCGCGCTTTTAATAAAGGCGGGAAAAAGCTGATTTGACCCCGAGTTGGCTTTGCCTTTACTGATTAAGAAGGACCGGGCTGCGCTCGATTGATACGTACTCCAGACACGTCAGCATTATTCTCTCGGCCATTATTTGGGAATTGGCCATTGGTCATTGACCATTTATCATTGACCATATTTATCATAACAATCCCTACTCATCACGTCTAGAAATTTTCAAAGCGGTTAATTTACGGTTCAAAAATTGGATCAAAGATTCAACTACAGACACCACTAACGCATATTTGAGTCAGGAATACCTTTTGATGTATAACACTTCCATTTCTTTAGCTAAAAGTTTTTAAAAGATGGAGAGCATTTGCTTTTTCAGGATTTTTCGTTATTGTTCGGGCTTTTGATCCTTGAAGACGTTCGCCATGCACAAAAATCTTTCAAAACCCTTTTTGTAAAAGTACACTATTTGAACCAAAGTAGAAAACTTTCATTTGGGCAAATGATAATTTTCATAATCTGATTTCTTACCTTAGCTAACGATACACTTCAAGTCAAAAAAAAAAAAAGAAAAATGGAGAGAATTTGTCGTGTCAGGATTTTTTCTGTTTTTTTTTTTCTTGTTCGGGCTTTTGATTCATTAAGACGTTCGCCAGGCACGAAAATCTTTCAAAACCCTTTTTGGAAGATTAGACTTGAACCAAAGTAGGAAATTGTCAGTTGGACAAACGATAATTTTCATGTGCCGATTTCTTACCTGAGCTTGCGATACACTTCCTTTCCAGCTTTCTCGGCTTACGTGAGCACTAATAGATTTCTTCTCTGAACATTTGTTATTATATAGAATTGATACCTTTACCTCTTCAAACAAAAATTCTCATCCGCTAATGATAGCATGAGAATTGTGTTCGTTATGACAGCAAATATATTTAATTAAAAAGACAAAGTTGATGTCAATCAAGAACACATTAATTTTTGCACTGAATTACTAAGCTATTCAGCGCCATGCAACTTAAGATTATCGGCGCAAAAAAAGGAATCAACCAGATATTGTCATTAAGATCTGAATGCCATTTACAAACCATTTCCCGGATATGAAAATTTTACGACAAGTTGGTGAACTTGAGAATTCTGATTGTGATTCCAATAAACTTCTAGAATGTTCGCAACCTTGCTGTTTTTAGCAAAAGATTTCCCACGGTGTCATAAGCTTATCCAGGAGATTATGTCCCGCCTTTTCTTTTCTTTATAATACGCAATTTCTGCGGAATAGCTATTCGCTGTAGTTCCCATTCGTCATAGAAAAGGTCCATCTTAAACGCTTACACATATAGGTAACATAGGTATTGTCAACTGAGTTGATAACGTAAAATGGCTACCGTAAAGAGTTTAAAAGCTGATGTTTCGAGCGTTAGCCCTTCGTTAGGGTGATTGGAAGAATTGTGGGTGGTGTGTGTTTACATGCAGGAAATGGAGCCACGCTATTAGTGGGAATATGGCGACGAGAAAACAAGATTAAATTAGTTGAATAAAAACCACTCGTTGATACCGTGGAGAGTAAGAGTATCGATTTGAAATACAATTTTTCTCTTGAGTTTTTGGCCTTTCCGAATTGCCTGGGTGTAGGGAAAGGCCGCAAACAGCCATATGTTGCTTAGATTGGTGAAGGAGATTTAAGTGTCTAGCGACTGGTTTGGATGCGCCCGTTTCATTTCTTTCTATGTCGGCGCGAAGGTGTTCTCAGAATCGGTCACCTAATCGTCTTGCGAAAAGATAGTATCAGTCTCTGAATCATTTTGAGGTAATTTTAAGGTTTTTAAGAACGATAGATTTAACTGCGTGGTTGTAAGGGTGAAATGTGAAAGCCTCACACATTTAGCCCCGCAACAATGCAGTTAAATCTCAAACCCCCTCAACCACATAACAAAGGCACAAACATGATTGGAGGACTTTTTATGCTTTGTGACAGAAAATATGCATCATAGTCCTTAATCCAAAGGGTTGATCAACTCCGAAAGGAAAAGAAATAAGGCATTATCATAACCAAGAGTCAAATGGCCCCGCGCGCTTTTAATTGAGACGTGAAAAAGCTGCTTTGATCCCGATTTGGTTTTGTCTTTAGATTAAGACGGACTGAGCTGCACTCGATTGGCATATGTGTTCCAGACACGTCAGCATCATTCTCCTTTCCATTAAACATTTATCACAACAATCCCCACTCATCATGTCTTAAATTTTTTAAGCGGTTAATTCACAGTTCAAAAATTAGAGCAAAGATTCAACGGCAAACACCACTAACGCCTATTGGAGTCTTGAATATATTTTGGTGGATAGCACTTGTATTTGTTTAGCTAAAAATAATAATAATAAAAAATGGACAGAATTTGTTTTGTCGGGATTTTTTTCTTATTGTTTGGGCTTTTGATTTATTAAGACGTTCGCCAGGCACGAAAGTCTTAAAACCCTTTTCGGAAAAAGTAGACTGTCTGAACCAAAGTAGAAAATTGTCAGTTGGACAAATGATAATTTTCATTAGCCGATGTCTTACCTGAGCTTACGATGCACTTCTTTTCCAGCTTTCTCGGCTTACGTGAGCACTAAAAGAGATCTTTTGAACATTGGTCATTATATAGAATTGATACCTTTACCTCTTCAAACAAAAATTATCATCCGCCAGTGATAGCACTAAGAATTGTGTTCGTTATGACAGCAAAATATATTTAATTAAAACGACTAAGATAATGTTGATCAAGAAAAGAGCAATGAGAAATTATTTTTTGCAATTACTAAGCTATTCAGCGTCATGTAATTTAAGATTACCGGCGCAATAAAGGAATCAACCAGGTATTGTCATTAAAATCAGAATCCCATTTGCAAACCATTTCCGAGACATGACAATTTTACGGCAAGTTGGTGAACTTGAGAATTCTGATTGGGATTCAAACGAACTTCTGAAATGATTACAACCTTGATGTTTTTTAGGGAAAGATTTCTCATGGTATCATATCCCAGAGATTACCTCTCGGCTTATCTTTTTCGAGTTTTAGAAATACTTATTTAAAACACTTAAGGCTGGTCAGGTATTTGTTTAAATTGATCTTTTTCGGGTGACATGTCAAATTCTAAAATTCAGTCCAGTAGTCCTTTACAAATCTAGTGTTATGACGGTGCTTGTCATTAATTTTCCATAACATTTGTGTTTTTTTGACATTTTAGGAGAAGAAATAAAATAATTATAAATATTTTTTCTTCACTTTAATACAGATAATCGGTAGCTTATATAACCAAAGTAAATATTAGTTGTTTGGTCTGTTCCCGGCTGCACTATGGGAGGAAAAAGCTGCCTCATACTAGACTAAAAGTTCTTACGAGCCATTTTTTGGGCAAACTTCGTACGTTTGGAATAAACATCTTTCTTCGACGATTGTCTCAATTTCTTGCAGCTTCATCAAGCGAATGGTTCTCCGTGTATTTCGTAAACATGGGACATTTTTGGTGAATATTTCGCGAATCAAAATCATT